ATTATATAATTTAAGTGTACTTCTTTATAACATGGTGGAGTTTATTTATATCTGTATAATCTGTTTTCTGTTGTTCTTGAATTCATTGTGAATAAATTTAATTACTGTTGCATTATCTTTAGTTTTCCCTGAGAAACTAAAAAATCCCTTCGCTTTTATAGACTCAGAGAACAAAGAAAAATTTACTCCCTTTGACATGCTCAAGGTCCCAATTCTTTAAACCTATTTTTAAAAAGGGTAAGAGTGTATTCCCTTACTGACTTGTATGTGCTGAGCTGTAACTTTATGTGTTTACATAGAGTACCAAAGGTGTTTCATTGGTTTCACAAATGCTGACAAAAAAATAATTTTAATGTCTTGTCACGGGCAAATGATCAGTGGCTAATCCAATTATCCTGCTTTGACTTTTGACGCTAAGATTATTAGCATTTGCATTACAACCAGTATATTTGCTTTAACTACAAGTGTTTGCACTGTAAATTTCAATTTTAACATCCAGTCGATCCGCCTCATAAATTAAAGTTTTATTTAAATATTTTGTAGTAGGATGTTCTAAAAATATGGAAGTGTCAACTTGTTCTAAGGAAATCCCAGTCGTTTACTACTCTCAGCAACGGTTATTATTAAACGTATTACATTTTATGTATGCATTAAAACATATATAAAAGATAATTTTTGTTGCAATATGATAAGATTGATTTATAGGTAGATGACGTCGGTATTGGATTAAATGACATTTGAAGTATTTAAACCCATTTATATGTACATCTCGGTACACAGATCCCCGACAGTAGTATAATAGCCAATCAAATACGAGTGGACTATACAAAAGGAAATATTTTGTCGGCCTCAAGGCCAACTAGTAGTCACTTTATTTATCCGACTTATACCCAGCCCGTGTAATTTATGAATTATCAGCGTGAATGCTTAATAAATTCGTATTATGATAATATTGGTACCTGCTCGCATAAAATAATTTTTTTGTTTTCATTCTACTTTGGACGATACGATATTGCGGAGACCGTCAGTCTGGACCTGATGACCATGGGCTTGAGGATACCTATACACATTCGCCTAAGTGGTACTTTGTTAATTACGAATTCATGAGATGTTAATGCCCAATAAAAATGCGAACCTCAACTTTGTGAAGCTCCTTTGTGTAAATTGCTCGGCTCTTGTAATACAAATCGGTAGAACTGGTTTTGTCTCGATTCAGTTTTTCGATTTCATTGTCAAATCATATCTCTATTACTTTTGTAGGGAGCTCTAACTGGGTGGCTGTTTCAGGAAGGCAGACTATATTTTTCTCTAAAACTTTATTTTTCCATAAAGACATAAATCTTAACAACGCTTCTTTTCACACATGACAACACATAACCTCTTTTTTCCTAACTAAGCATAAGCCTAAGATAAGAAGTAAGAACTAAGAACACTGAACTCTTTACTCCAGATCTCCTCTTCTTCGTATTCGAATAAGTAAATCGCGCGGGATTTTTTAAATATTTGAAATGGGTTACTACAATATAATTAAAGTTTTTACCATTAATTACTCTGCATTGATTTAATATCTAATTTTTTTCTTTATAATTCAGCTGCTGATAATATTCTAGGGAACACTGACTATTTTTTTTTAAATTTATTTAATTAGAAATATTTGCGCGGGCATTTCTTATCTAAAATTCTCGGATACCGGAGTGCATTCGCTTTCCTAAAAGCTCTGTGTTCTCTCACTGCGTATACGAGTAAAAAAATTACAGCGCACCGCAAAAGATAAGAATCTATCTGACCGATAAACGTATTTCCCGTCACAATATATCACCAGTATAGGTTTGACTTCTTAAGTGTACCTTTTAACGCACCACTTCACATTCAACTAAGCATGTATATTTAAATGTAGAAAGAGGTGTGCTAAACGTCTACCAGGTGAGCGCTTGAAATTTTTACCGTTTTATTTCCATAGAAATGAGAATAATTTTTTATCAGTTTGCAGTGTTCGATCGACACCTACTCAAATGTTAATGTGTGTTCGCGTTTCCGTTTTAAAAAAATATATAGTTGGTTGGAAATAGAAAGCCTCTATTGTTAACAATACCTACGAACAGATTTTCGAGCTATAGGCTTTAAAAAAATTTAAAAAAAATAATGTAACAATTTTTGTTTTGAAATCATTTTAACAAAATTTGATGTATGCTTTTAATATGTCGGTAGATGTAAAATAAAAAAGTACTTGGGTAGGCATATCTTTAAAAAATAATAATAATAAATGATATCATTTTGTATAATGTTTCAAGCAAACTTTGTCTTCATATGCCCCATTGCATCCTCTTCATTTTTTATCCCTATACATCCTTTGCCGTTTCGCGACGTGAAGTTCTTAACAAGTGTATTTTTGTTTAAAATAATATCTTAATATGCTATGAGTGATAATTAAAAGAAATAACGAATTAATTATTTTTTGTTTGTAATATCGTGCAGGATAATATATATTTTTTTTCCATAAAAGCTTAAATTTTTTTAGTTTGTACTTACCAGCATTTTAAAAACATATAAGTACATACCAAATTCATTAAAGCAGTTTAGAAATTAATTTTACTTTGCAGTCTGTTCTGTTTTAGTTATATTTAGCAAGTACCTTCTCTTTAAAGGGCTCGTGAGTCGTTAATTTTCCACATTTTTCAATGCAATTCACGGGAATCGTAGTTTACGTCGTAAACTTTATTTTGCGAAAAATTCAAGTCTTAATGTTTATAAACAATTGCGCTACGATTTTTAAAAATAAAATTCTTATCTTGGCTCCTGTTGATCGTAGAGGGTGCTTTTTTCTTAAAAATTGTATTTTTTTGCCAGCTATCCATTGCATCTATTTTCCGTGAAGTAGCATAAATAGCAGCAATTTTATTCAAATTGTTTATAAGCGTTTTTTTAATGCACAATTTGAAAATGTTAATGTCAAAAAAATATTTGATATTTTTTAACAGGTTGCTTAATTACGTCTTTAAGATTAGAATGACGCTTTCAGAATCATGTTTGGTTGAAAATTAACGCCTGTACAGAGGCTTAAAGTTCATAACTTTTGGAGCCTCCAGCGCCCACTTTTGGCACACTTTTGAAGTATGACAAAACCCTCAACTTGTCATAGGTTTTATAAAATTTTAACAATAAATGCGATAGTTATAAACAAATTAAAAAATTGGCACTTTTCTTGTTTTTCGCAATAACTTTTTTGTTTATTAACCGATTTTAATTTAACAAGTCTCATTTTGTAGATAATTTTATTGCCTACAAGCTGTCTGCGAGTCACTTTTCGCTAAAATTGATGGTTTTCCCTTAAATTAAAAAAAAAGGTTTTCCGCTTTCCCTTAAATTAAAAAAAAAGTTAGCTAATAACATTTTTTGACTCACGAGATGAGAGATGTCTTGTATTATGTTCCTTTAGACAATTTTACAATAATATAGCGGATAGGAATTTTTTTGAGTTTCTCTTTAAGTATTTAAGAACAAACAACACGTGTTTTGTAAAATAGATACACTAATATGCTTAAAACTTACAAAAAAACAAAAAAGAATATTCTTAAATTTAAATACAGTAAAAATTTAACATTAGCCGTGTGATTCCTAATGCTCTTGCTCGGAAGGAATAGCCTGATACGCAGGTGAGCTGTTGTTGATATGTTATCGCTGACATCATTAGCGTATTTTCTCTTGTTTTGTTTAATCTTGGCATTTTCTAGTTCTACTAAGTATTGTTATTGTTTTTCTAAGCATTGTACTGTGTCAGTGTGTTTATAGAGTGTTTTTTTCTTCAAGTGGTTTATTATGGACATACTCTTAACCATAATCAAACTTTCCTTGAATGATATCCTGTTGCGAGGCTACCTCGCTTACATAAAACTATCTTTAATCGACATGCTCTGTAACATTGATATAATTTTAATTTATTAATTACTATAAAAGTCAATATTGTTCTAAAATTCTAGAATTCTATTAGTTTGTCACTTGGGGTTTGAAGCTTCTTAAATATTTCTAATATTGCCAGAATACCGCAATATTTAAGGTCATGACAAAGAAGACATTTTTTTGGCGGTTATATCCAAAGTACATAAGGTTGAATCAATCTAGTAAAAATATTGAGAATATCTTCATGACACTGTGCACTACTAAAAAGGTCTGTTTCTTAAAAATAACTCCATCTTATAATTAAGCCATATATGACGGAAAAATGTATGAAAATATTAAATAAACAGTAACTTACTTAACAAAAAGTAGGAATATATATTGAGGACTGCTGTAGCCAAGGCAGAAGTCGTGATTTTACACGAATAACATCACATTACAGTAAATGTTTAATGTTTCGACCATGTTCTCTAAGTATTACAAATCTTACATCACGTGAGAAATTATTCATGAACTTTATTTCTGCCACCACAGAATTTTGTCCACATTCACCGTATGTCAATGGCAAACACTAACTATTAATAACTGTGACACTATTACTATGATTTTACTCAGACTAGATCAAAACATTAGAGATTTTTAAATACAAAGAAACAACCGATTTTAATGCAAACAGTAGATGTACTGTTGTACTATGTTATTTACTCTTGTCAAAAATATGTAGTGAAATAACGTAATCATTCAAAGACATATTTTATATTTTTGTTGTTGCCTCATCACCTTTGACAAAGGTAAACATGTAAAAACAGGTACTACAAAGGGATCTTTTTGTTTGTATGAATAGAGTAGATGTGAATCATTTTTTTTAACAAACCAATATTTGCTCTTTTTACTAAATATGATTTTTTGAAACATTTATTCAGTTATCGGTTCTTGTATATTTTTATTCTGTTTTAAAAATATTGCGCTAATTCGAATGGTAGAATACATGTTTAAAAATAAAAAAATTGTAATCAGAATAAGTACGCATATGTTAAAAAAACAAATCAAAATATATGTGCTATTTTGAATTTTGCACTTTCTTACATTTTCTCGTTTTCTTGTAGGTCAGCGCTGCAAAATCTGCACAAGGTGAGCGCCAAGGCCCGCGAGCAGAACTACTTCCAGGGCGGGATGACCCACGGTTGGGTCGACTACTACGAGGACAGGATCGAGTCGGAACGGTCCTGTCTGAACGAATGGCACGCCATGGACAACCTCGAGTCCAGAAGACCGCCCTCTCCGGATTCCATTCGCACGAAGCCCACTGAGAGGGAGGAGACGGAAAAGGTCATCAGGAGCACCCTCAAGGAGATCATGATGTCGGTGGACTTGGACGAGGTCACTAGTAAATTTATAAGGGGTAGGCTCGAAGACGAGCTCGACATGGACCTTGGGGAGTACAAGTCTTTCATTGACCAGGAGATGTTGGTTATCCTCGGCCAGATGGACGCTCCGACGGAAATTTTCGAACACGTCTATCTGGGTTCGGAGTGGAACGCTTCCAATTACGAGGAATTGCAGAAAAATAGGTAGGTGATTCGTCAGTTTACTAAGTTTTGGACTAAGATTATTTATTTCGTAATTGCGTATGTTGTTCTGAGTTGTCTAAAATAGTAAAGACATTTTTAAACATAAAAAAATTGATGCTGATATAGAACGAAAATATTTATTTAACAGAATTCCAAATTAACTTCAAATATATGGTTTAAAACAATAAGTGTCAAAATTTTATAATACAGCTAAAATTGGTAAAATTAATAACAAAATTATAGGTTATAACTAAAATTTGTACTATTGAATATATATTAAATGCCGTTAAAACTTAACAAAATTGACCAGTAAATTAAAACCAGTTCTCTTGTTTTTGATTTTGTGACCAATTTATTGAAGCTAAAAAATTTACCAAAACTGAAAACTAAAATAAACGCAATAAAATGAAGCGGTAACATATTTTGCCATTCTGGTTTTGCTGAAATATGCGTGGGTCGTCATATCACATCAGGTGGATCGATATTATGGAGTAATGTCATCGACGCTGAGATTCACAAACAAAAATATTAAAAATTACTAAAAAAATCACCAAAACCGGTTAAATTAAAACCTTTCTTGTGTCTCCAAATTCTTAGTCAATTTTTTCGAAAATTTGTGAATGTAAAACAAATATTGCAACAATCATTACTTTTTTTTTTGATTGCCTCAAATGATGCTTTAGACATTTGAAACCTGAACTCACCAAGTTGAGAAAAATGCACTGATAACCACCGCTTACGGAAACTGTGAGCGATATTAAAGGCACTGTCACTAAAGTAGCGTTTCTGTTCCAGGATTGGTTACATCTTAAATGTCTCCAAAGAAATCGATAATTTCTTCCCTGGCGCATTTGACTATTTGAATGTGAGGGTGTACGACGATGAAACAACCGACCTATTGAAACACTGGGACAACACATACAAATACATCACAAAAGCCAAAGATACGGGCTCCAAGGTGCTGGTACACTGTAAGATGGGGGTCAGCAGATCGGCGTCGGTGGTGATCGCTTACGCCATGAAGGCGTACAGTTGGGATTTCGACACGGCCCTGAACCACGTCAAGGACAAGAGATCCTGTATAAAACCGAACATGAGTTTTTTGTCGCAGCTGGAAACTTACCAGGGGATATTGGACGCGATGAAGAACAAGGAAAAATTGCAGAGATCAAAGTCTGAAACTAACCTTAAATCGCCTGGCTCGAAGAGCGAAAAGGTCCTAGCGGGCAGCGAACCCACCCCCGTGATTCAAGCTCTGACGAAATCGTACGATCTGGAAGCCACGATGTCGGGCCAGGATCTGCGGCATTTGGGTGCGCGGCCCAAATCTTGGTCGCCGGATAACATCACGGCGAGGGAGCTGGTTATCGGAGTTAAATCTTCTCCGGTTTCGGTGTCGTTGGAGGACGTGAGCCAGAAATCCTCTTCGAAGGAATCCGTGAGGAGCCTGCAGTATCATGTGGAAATGAAAAGCACGCTCGCCAGACACGTGCTGATGCCCTGTGATAACGGAGAGTCTTACAGCGTTTCTCCAAACCAAATCGTTCACTTACCCGGCCACGACTTGGCCTCTACCGGCAAGGAGGAGAAGAAGACATTAGTTTTAGACCTCTCCACGAGGTTCGAGAAGACGGACCAAAAAAACGAGGTGGAAGCGAGCGACGATAGTTCCTGTAATATTAGTGAGACGGACGATAAACTGCAGACGGACGACGTGAAAAAGGAGACGTGGGACCCCGGGGAGGCGAAGCAAGCGAGCAAAGTGTCTTACTGTGGCAGTACAAGCGATTTCTGTGATTTAAAAACCGATAGTATAAGTGAAAGCCAGACTGTGTGGACGTCCTCGACAACAGTGAAAACTGAATGTGCTGTGCCCCTTAGCTGTAGTAATAGTTTAGTGAAAATCCCCGATTCCCTGCAACAGACTGTCCGAGCGAAAACCGTGACGTTACGTAAAGACAGTGACCCGTTCTCGAACCAGCTCGACCGAGTTTTTGACCGCGAGGAGAAGAAGCAGCAGAGACTGTCCACGATACCGATCGTGCCTCCCGAGCTCTCTAACGAGGAGAAGGACGTCAGGGAGTGCCCGTCGCGACAGAATTCGTGGAGTTCGTATGACTCGGCGGTAGTGTTGGGGTTCCCGAATGAAACAGAACTGTCTCGCCAAAGTTCGTGGGGCTCCGGGGATACGCGCACCTTACCCAGCAGGAACAGTTCGTGGGGCTCGTACGACACAAGACGCCGTGGTCCGGTTCACTACGTGAACGAGAAAGGCGAGAAAGTATTACACAGCAACAGCGAGCTGTTTGAAAATAGCTCGTCGGGGATGTTCCCCTACGACAAGGAAGACATCCCGTGGCATCCGGGAACCGTTAAAAGGACGAAACAGAAGATCGAGGAGAGCTCGTCCCGGAAGCCCAGCGGCGGCGATAGTCTAGCGAGCAGTTGTATTTCCTTAGCGAAAACTCCTAGTTCCGAAACGCTACTGTTTGATTTCCTCGCGGATAAGGAGGGAAACGTCGAAGAGGCTTTGATTGAATCGGCGTCCACGAATAGCGATAATGTTGTTTCGAGTGCCATATCCGAGAAGATAGACATTCCCGGTGACGATCACAAGCCGACTAATCTGTCGAGACTGTCGATTAGCGCGCCGGAATCTTCCTCCATCGAATTAATACCCCAGGAGTGCTCCCTGTCCCGATCGGCATCGAACGTGTCTTCGATGGGAAAGCTACCGAAGGACGGTTCGAGTTCGGTGATTTGTACGGCGCAGTGCTCGTCCGTCAAGCAGCACAGGACCTTGCTGGAGAATCTGCACAACTTGGAGCACTCGCAGTACATGACGAAGAAATCTGAGGATCTGTTTGACAGTTCGAACCACTCGGGGAAGGTTATGAACTTGAAGAAGGAGTTCGAAGCCAAGTCCAGCATAAACCTGGAGCAAGTGAACGCGAGTAACGCGGAAACGAGCGATTCGTCGAAAACGGCTAAAACGAAAGTCAGCAGCCTGCCGTCGTCCCCTATAAGCGTCCACCAGACCAAGGAGAAAAAGGAAGAGAAAGGCGACGACTTGAATTTGAAGAATTTAATAGGCATCTTCGAGACCAACAGAGAGGACGTCCAGGTTAACCTCAGACAGAAATTCAACGCCTCCAACAAGCCTCTGGCGCAAATCCGCAACGCCAGGTACTCTTGCATCGAGGTGTCGGAGAAGCCCGTCCGGATAACGCAGACGCCGTTGATCTCCAATCTCAACAGGAACGGTTCGGCCTTGGACAAGAACGAGGGCGAGTCCAAGAGGCCTCCCATATCGCCGATCTCGAGGTACAATTCGCCCAGTTCGGTGCTGTCGGCGACGGTCATCGCCACGGCGGCCAGGAAGCAACAGCAGTACGGGAAGAGCCACCCGCTGTCCAAGTTGAACATCAAGCCGAGACACAACAACCCCGTTTATAACACTATGTAATGCTCAAATTACAGAGAAGGCTGTGACTGCACTATTTTCTTTTTTTTTTTACTACGCAGATTAGAGTTTAATGTTTGTTTAGGATAATCGAGCTTATTTTGTAACAATTTTTAGGTTCTTTTTTTTTGTAACAGTTTCGTTATTGCATATCATTGGTTTTTATTTATTCTTGTGTACGACTCCGTGGATATATTGCTCGGTTTGAGCGCTCATATGTTTAAAATCGATTCAGATGAAGGGAATATAAATTGACGTTCGTGATGTATTGGGTATGTTTTCCTGTTCGTTAACGGTAGAATCAATCGGGAAAATCTCAAAGAGTTTAGACGTCGAAACGGTTTAACTCGCTTATGGTACCGTCTATATTAAAGACACGTTACGTTATAACATTTTTTTTAACGGAATTTGGGCATTGCTTCTAATATTTTACTCTCTTGGTCTTTTACAATGAAAGGGATTTTTATATATTTGTGTAGTTGTACAATCGGCCAGAACTTGGGTATGAGAACACTAGATGGCGACACTTCCAAAAATTGCCTCTTCCCATCAAAATTTTGACAGTCGTCAAAATCGTTTTTTTTTAAATAAATTTGGTTTTTTCATACATTTGTTGCTCGGTTAAGAGCAAATATGCAACCAACAATACATTTTTATAGATTTTATTACACAGTTCGTCTAAATATAAATTAATGCACAAACGACATACTTTGCTCCGTTCAAACACAGATTTTCTATAAAATGGAGTTAGTTTGAAACTCAAATTACGTTTTATTGTAAGGAAATTTGTAATTTGCCGCTTTTGAACAAGGAAATTACAAATTTCTTTACACCAAAGTGTAATTTCTGTTTCAAACCAAGTCCAGTTTATAGGAAATCTGCTTTAGAATGGAGGAAAGTTTGTCATTTGTGCATTAGTTCATATTTAGACAAACTGTGTAATAAAATCTATAAAAATGTATTGCTGGTTGCCTATCTGCTATAGAACCCTCTTATCCGAATAATCTGCTAATTGCACAAACCTAGAAACGTTCTAGATTTGTGAATTCCATCGTAAAAGAAACTGCTTCTGCCTCAAAAGTTAACATTCCCTGCGGCGAGTTGTAAAAACTTAACGTTTGTCCTCACTACAACCAAGGATGGCAGATATTTCTTGGTAGTGTCGCCATCTAGGATTTTCATTCGTAAGTTTGGCACGTTTTACAGATTTTCAAATTAAAAAAAAAGCATTTTATCCCAAATTGACAACTGACTGAACTTAAGAACGAGAACACTAGATGGCGACGTTTTCAAAAAATCCTATAACTCGTAACGGTGGGAGAGTCGCCATCTGGTATTCATTCTAAAGTTTAGCTGGTTGTTTAACTGTAAATACTGGGTGTCTCCAAAAGACCGGACAGTTTTAAATGAAAGCTGTAGGATATCAAGAAATCAATATGCTGGTGACCTTGGATTTAACCTTGCCCTTACGTTTCAAGGTCAAACCAAGGTCAACTTGAAAATATTACTGTTTTATGCAAACAATTGATAAAGTGACAGATTTTACATCCGGAGACAGAAAATATTTTCCGTATGTCCTTATAGGCCATTTGAAGGTCAAACTCATTTTTCTCTGAATAACCCGACAAGATCGAATTGTGAAGGAAATAGTTTGAAGCAAAATTTGCAGGATTGATAAATTAGGTGGCGACTTTCGATTTAACCTTCATCACAAGTTTCAAGGTCAAGCTTAATATGAAATACAGCAACCGGTACTGTGCTAATTTTTGTGTTGCAATCTGGGAATAAGAATTTTCCATGTTCAAGGTCACCATCTAATTGTCATTCAAAATCCTACAAATTTTGCTTGAAACCGAGAAAAATTAGAGTTTGACCTTCAAATGGCCGGCAAGGTCATACTGGAAAAATTTTCCCCATATTCAGATGTGGAATTTGGCCCTCTATCGTTTATTGATATAAAAGACAGGCCAGTCCTATCAGTTTTAAATAAAAGCTGTAGAATATCAAGAAATCAATATGCTGGAGACCTTGGATTTAACTTTGGCCTTAAGTGTCAAGGTCAACTTGAAAATATTATTGTTTTACGCAAACAATCGATATAGTGACAAATTTTACATCCAGTCAGAAAATTTTTCCCGTATGTCCTTACCAACAATATCCAACTGTGAAGAAAAATGTTTCAAGCTAAATTTGAAGGATTGATAAATTAGATAGCGACCTTCGATTTCACCTTCATCACAAGTTTCAAGGTCAAACTTAATATGAAATACAGTAACCAGTACTGTGCTAAATTTTATGTTGCAATTTCGGAATAAAGAATTTTCCATGTGCAAGGTCATCTATCATTCAAAATCCTATAAATTTTGCTTGAAACTGAGAAAAATTAGTTTGACCTTCGAATGGCCTGCAAGGTCATACTGGTAAAATTTTCCCCATATTCAGATGTAGAATTTGGCCCTCTATTGTTTATTGGCATAAAAGACAGGATAGTCCTATTAGTTTTAAATAAAAGCTGTAAGATATCAAGAAATCAACATGGTGGTGACCTTGGATTTAACCTTGGCCTTAAGTTTCAAGGTCAAACCAAGGTCAACTTGAAAATACTAGTTTTATGCAAACAATCGATACAGTGACATATTTTTACATCCAGTCAGAAAATTTTTCCCATATGTCCTTACCGGCTATTTGAAGGTCAAACTCGGTTTTCTCTGAACAATCCAACAATATTGAACTGTGAAAAAAAATTTTTCAAGCAAAATTTGGAGGATTGGTAAATTAGATGGCGACCTTCGATTTAACCTTCATCACGAGTTTCAAGGTCAAACTTAATATGAAATACAGCAACCGATACTCTGCTAAATTTTAGCAGATCTAGGAATAAAGAATTTTCCATGTCCAAGGTCACCATCTCATTGTCATTAAAATTCCTACAAATTTTGCTTGAAACCGAGAATAATTAGTTTGACCTTCAAATGGCCCACAAGGTCATACTGAAAAAATTTTCCCCATATTCAGATGTGGAATTTGGCCCCCTATCGTTTACTGGGATAAAAGGTGATCTATTTGATATTTTCAAGTCGACCTTGAAATTTTGAGAAATTATCAAGGGTTCGGATTTTTTGGGACACCCTGTATATAAAATAAATAGTAGGGTTGTCTATGAAGGTGTAGGTGAAGGTGAATCAAATTCATAACTATATAAGGACTTGTAATTTTAAGTTTAATTTAAAAAAATTAAACTTCCAAATTTGCGATTTCTATGACCATGGTATTTTTATTTGGACAATAAATGTGTCATTAATATAGACAGTGTCGCAAAAACTCATCGTAACAAACTAAAACCTGGATTAATTGCGTTGAAGACATCTAAATCGTTTCGAGATTTTCGCATCGATTTTATTGTATCGCGACTAAGTGTATTGTAAATATTTCACAAAGGCTTTAAGCAGTTATACTGAAGAATAGTGCAAAATAAAATATAAGTAAAATGAAAAAAAATTAAAGAAAAACTAATGTAAGTGTTGCTTCCTGTAAATACGCCTATGTATTTTTTGAACTTGTTAAACTTGTAAATTTTTTATTGGTCTTTACAAACTGCTTTTAACTTATTGTGATTTTCTCTAAACGGATATCAGAAGCAACAGTTAATTTTCTCAACATCTCTTACTGCCAAAATGTTAAACTGTGGACCACTTTAACAATAAGTATAAATCATTGGGAAAAAAAACGATGAGCAGGGGAGATCGGTTTGCTTTTATTTCACTCTAGTAATTTTATAACGTCTCCAAAATTAGAATTATTTTATTTTTCACGGCTAAAAATAGTTAATAATTTCAGAAGTCAGTTTTTTCATTCAAAATTTTAAAGTCGTAATCTGCAAAGTTACTAGATGAAAACACTTGGTCCTTTACGTAATTTTTCCGAAACTAATAGACTTGGCTGTCGAGAAATCTAGTCCTGTGTGTTGTTGCAGAATGAGAAAATACAGCCTGTGAGCTCAAATTGAGTTGCTGTTGTTGAGGTTAGTTAAGAATCGCACCGTGTCTGGGCGATGTATTTTTAATGATTATGCCTGTCGATCGGCGCAACTTGAAGGAAACCTAAGAATTCCAAAAATGGCTCGTATACAGCGGAAGCGCAAATTAACTTCAAATGTTTATTTACCGAGACAACCAGTCGGACTTAGGATTGAACATGCTAGATGGTGCCACTTCCAAAAGATCTCTATCTCGTTGCTGGGAGAGCCACCATCAAGTATTTTCTTTTCTAAATTTGATCGGTAGGCCTTGTTGCACTCTTGCAGTTTTCTGATTCCACCGATTCGGATATTTGTTCCTTGAGCGCGTTTTTTGATTTCCTAGGTTCGTACAGTATTTCTGGCTGGTCGAAATGTCTGAAATTGTCACGTGAGCGCGTTTTATGAGCTTGCATGTAAATTTTGGATGTATATATTTTTTTATAAGATCTTAAAGTGTCTAGAATAGTACTTTAAGTTAATATACTGTCCTTATTGCTTTTGTGTGTAATTGTGTGATAGTAAGTTTTTTTTTGTACTATAGATGTAAAATATGATGTATCGCTTACGAAAATTGTTCTCATACGCAAACAAAATAAAAAGCGATTGTTTAATACGAATTTTTTTTGTTTCACTTCCACGATACATCCCGAGAAAAGTGGTGAGTGTCTAAGTGTTTATGTGAGGGGGACTTTTTCCCTGACAATGAAACAAAACCTTGAAGATCATTTCAAGGTCAAATGTGATTTTTCAAATGGGACCCTATACATTTGACCCCAAAAATTAAAAGAGCGGAAAATTTCACATTCAGATACGACCTTGAGTGACAAGGTCAAATTAACAAAAGTACAGGAATGGCAGAATAACTTGGCGGGAGAGTATTTTAGAGAAAAACTTTGATCTTGAAATGACCTTCAAGGTCAAGTTCAATGTCAAGGTCACCATCGGATAGCCAGGGAGAAATCCTGAAATATTGTATTTAACATTTTTCTCTAAAATGCTCTTCTGCCGTTCCTGTACTTTCGTTAGTTTGACATTGTGGGGACACCAAGGCTAAAAGGAAGGGGTCACCCAAGATCATATCTGACCTTGAAATGATCTTCAAAGTCAGAGTCAAAGTCACCATCGGATAGCCAGGGAGAAATCCTGAAACCTTTGTATTTAACATTTTTCTCTAAAATGCTCTTCTGCCGAGTTATTCTGCCGTTCCGGTACTTTTGCTATACCCTGTATATATAAAAACAAAATTCCAATAGACAAAAATTATTTTATCAAGAAATATTTATTTTAATAGAAATTGAAAAATATTCTAGCACAAAAAAAGCAAATTAATATAAAGAAACATTCGATAACAACAACAAAATATCAAAAAATTTACACTGCTTTTTACTAGTGTAACAAAAATGTCAAATGAAAACTATTTTCAGAAGAAAAAAACTAATTCGCTGTTGTAACAGCCGTATTTTATTCCAAATTAAAATCGCTATTTACCTTCAAAAATGAAAGTAGCCAGTGGCAAGTCGTAACACCCTATTTAAAAATTGTTGTGGGTTAAAGTGCCTTCCTTAAAAAAACGACTCATTCAAATTTCCTGACATTTTGAGAGCCATATCGCTCTCCTTCAGCAGAAACTGTAAATCTAAAGATTTAAGTCCTCTGGCCTCTGTTGGCCGTCTACAGGCCTTTTCTGGAAAGTGACATGTACTTGTTCTCGTGCCAAGCTCTGTGGGGGGCGGACCTGCTATCAAAATACTTTAGGTCCACCCTGACGTTGGTTTTGGTGGTGGGGAAAAAACATTGCAACTTTTTTGTCAACAGTTTTTTTCGATATTCACAAAATTGAAAAATCTTATGTTTGGTTTTGTTACAAAAGGAAGGTGCTTTTGTTGGACGTCAAAAGGTTGTACTGTTTTCAAGTAAAATCGATATTAAAAGTGTAAGTCACCACAATAAAAACTAATAGGAAGCAGCACTTTTTTCTTATTTTTTATGAAGAATCTAGTGAATTTATACGGTTACCACGCCACGTTAATAATGGATAAAAAATTACAAAACGACTTTATGTGCGAAAATACTATTTGGAAAAATGTATTTACAAGTCCAAGGAGCAAATTCACAACAACACGTTCATCCACTTAATAACATTCTATTTGAAACACTTTCTTTGCAGAAATAAACGCTATTTTTGGCACTAAAGATATATCACTTTTAGGCCTCGCTGAATGGTCTTTTGGTTTTTCTACCTTCTTTTTCACTGGTCCTAAGTCCAGAGCGTACACTGCCCCAGGAAGACCGGTAATATTTGCCACAGTCTAAAAAATGTGTATCGTAAATATTGACTAATATTTGTAGCATATTTTTAAATTTAATAAGTATTTTTGCCAGGCTGAAAAGAGAACCAAAAAATCGTGCTAAGTAGATCATCCGGGGGGCTGATTTTATAAACTTGGTTTTGTCTCAACAAAAATATCTTGTACACAAAAGTTCACGATAAATGACATATGGCAAGTGAACATTTGAATTTCGATTGATTTAATTAAATGCTTTGAGAATGAGACTTGAAAAAGTTTTCGAAACGGTAACTTTTAAGTAGTGTAGTGAAATAATAAATGCTTGGAGATAATTTCTACAATATTGAATATTGTTCCATTAATTTCTCTTTTTTTTACAAAAAGTTATAGAACGTTCATGTTGTGACAAAACTTTAAGAATAATTTTTATAATAGACTGAGAGGTTCGATTTTGGTAATATCGTACAGCAATTCGTTGCTGTACTTGGGAGGATTGTGGAGACAATTAATAATGTGACATATTTTTGTAACATATCTAATTGTGGAAATTTCTGCCACCCTTAGGTTTCGAAGCACCTTATTTCTTGTTTTTAGATAAAGACAGAGCACATTTGTAAATGGTTTTGTAGATATGGGTAGCTGTTTTCTTGCTAATTATTTTATTTTCATACATTTAACTACAAAAAACTCTATTTCTGCCAATACATTTCAATTTAACTGATTTTATGTGCTCACTGGGGTTCAACATTTGCACTTATGTAATTTTGAGGTATACAGGGTATAGCAAAAGTACCGGAACGGCAGAATAACTCGGCATGAGAGCATTTTAGAAAAAAAACAAAAGTTTCAGGATTGCTTCCTGGCTATCCGATAGTGACATTGACAATGACCTTGACGTTGACCTTGAGGATCAATTCAAGGTCAAATGTGATTTTTCAAATGGGACCCTATACTTTTGACCACCGAAATGAAAAAAACGGAAAAGTTTACGTTCAGATATGACCTTGAGTGACTTGATCTTGGGGCCCCCACAAGGTCAAACTAACAAAAGTATAGGAACGGCAGAATAACTCGGCGGGAGAGCACTTAAAAAAAATGTTGACCTTGAAATGATCTTCAAAGTCAAGATCAATATCAAGGTCACCATCGGATAGCCAGGGAGAAATCGTGAAACTTTTGTATTTAACATTTTTCTCTAAAATGCTCTCCCGCCGAGTTATTCTGCCGTCCGATACTTTTGCTATACCCTGTATAATGGAAGGCTTATTGCTTCTAAGGTTGGATGAATTAAGTTTTGTTGGATTGACTTTAAATGATTTATTGCACTACCTTGTTAGCATCGATTTGACGAGCTACTGAGGCTTTTGTAGTTAGATTTAGACTGGAATTGTGGACGGAAGCTGTATCGTTGGCATATTGAAATAATGTATAGAATTCCGACATGTCATGGCAGTAAATATCCCGTAAAAATGCAGAACTCTGTTGTAAACAGAATAGGTATTATTTGAGTAAGTAAATCAAATATTTGGAAGATTTAAGATATCTAAATCCAATAAAGAATACCTGTATGCCAAACAGAATAAAAAATTATATGTATTTATTTATGAGCCCATTGTTGTTCTGGAAATAACTTTTAGAGATTAGGAATTTATGTCTAGTTGTTCCAGATTCGGAAGCACACTCAATGTGAGGAGGGTAAAGTTTTTGTACCAACTCAATAGATTATTAAAATTGTACCAAAAAATTTGATATAATTGAAATTAATTTCAAGTCGTCTGCAAACAATAAAAATTTACTATGGGAAAACTACTCATTACCATTTAAAACATTGTTGAGAAAAAAGTGGACCCAAGTGAGAGCCTTGGGGCATACCTGACGCCGAAATCTAGAAATGCAGCAGCGTAGTGAAGTCTAGATTGTCAAGAGTTTTGGATATTTGAAATTATTATTATAGAAGAATGTAGAATCGGAAGTTTCTTCTTAGAAAGCTAGGGGACATTTATTTAAGACTACTTTTCTTTTTCAGTGTGGCAAAAATAGTTAATTTAACAAAAAGTATAATTGAAATGTTATATGTGGTAGATTAGTGCAAGAAATACATAAAACAGCATCAAAAAGAATATTTGTTGATAAAAAAAACCAAAGGTGGTTATTTTCGTTAAATATTTGACTCATACTACAACTTACATGAATTTTGGCACTAAAAATACTGTTTTTGAGACTCGAATATTAACATCGAGTAGTATTACTTACAGTTATGGTCTGCATATCAATGACTCGGAAAAGATTCTGATCAGTACCTCCAGAAACGATAAAGTCTTTGGAAGCGTATCTACCACAGTAGAGCTGAAAAGTCACATTTACCAAATGGTTTCCATTGAAACAAATACTTACCCTGCAAGCGTATATATCTGGTTCTATACAAGACACCCTTTTCGCACTTGCATAATCGAAGATTTGCAAAGGATCGGAAGGTTGAAAAGCGCAAGCTAAAATCTGTAAATAACACTTCCTAGTAAATAAATACAATTTGTATTTTTTTAAAACCTCTGTTCCTCTCATATTTATATCGAGTCCCTCCCCACACATGTGAATCCCCGATATGTGGCGGATGGCGTGGGGCTGCCTTAAATCCCAGTAATGTATCAAATCGTCCCAACCTCCGGTTATCAATTCGTAGTTGTTCCTGGGATGAAAACATGCTGCGAAAACTCTAGAGGTGTGACCGTCGTGTATTGTCGGATTATCACTAAAAAGGATATCACCACTCGAAATAACCCGTCTGTCATTTTAAAAAAATTACCTGGGTAATAGGACACGTTCCATCGTCTTGCTTTCTTCGTCATAAAAGCAAATCCTGCTGTCGTCTCCGTATGTTACAAATTTTGGCACACGAGGATGATACGTAAGTCCAAAAGTTTGGCGTTTTTCTTTTATTGAGTACAAGCACTGGTTTAAATTGTAATTCCAGCATTTTATGAAGCCGTTTGCATCTGGAATTTAAAGAATAGCTTCACTTTACAACATAATACTGAATTTATATGAATCTAGCAATTTGCAGTAATAAAATACAACAACCTCATGCATTAAAATGAGAAGAGAAAAGCAAGGGGGATAACTTCTTAAGGTATGCATCTTAAGGTAAGAGTATTGAAGTATAATAAAGCATACGTATACTTATATTTACATGTCCCCGTGAAACAATTCGTAACAGGATATACTTTTGAGACTGGTCTATGTTTAATTGAAGTTACTGGTGACCGTTTGTTTTTAACATCGTCGTCAGATAACTGAAGTGCTTCCTTTCCTGTTGTCGACTGATACACCCTGATTACACCATCATTATAGCCAACGCCAATATAGTCAAAGTCTTCGTTGTATTTAATACAAAGAGCCTCCTTTGGGCCTTCCCTAAAAGAATGCCAGTAGTTTTGTAAATGTATAAATATAATAAGTAATTGCACGTTACACTTGTGATATAATACTTATTCTTCCTTCCTGGTTCAAGTTTGATTCTTTTGGAGTTTTCTTCACAGAACTGGTGAACTGTTTTTCCGTATCCGATTCGCTCGTTCCAACTTCGTTTACTTCTTTTGGCATTAAGGGGCCCGGAGTTGCTTTTCTTTCTATTGGCGTATTATCGAAAAGAGCCATTGGATCAAGGGGATACGGTTTTTTGCTCATAATTTCAAATTTCCCGCTCGAATGCACGAATTTAAAAATATAAACGTTTCAAGTTGAAAACTAATAATTTTATCCAGATAAGCAAATTTAAGGTAAGTTTACTTTAGATAACCGACAAACTCAAATTGTTTAGACTGTTGAAGTTTTGGATGAAATATCACAATAATTTATATTTCTACTGTCATGGCGAGTTTTGAAGATCAGAAAAAAGAACCAGATTCTGGTAGGTGTCCTGAAAATTAGAATGCTTTTATGTAACAATAAAATGTGTTTTTAGTTTAAAATTTTTGCAGTGGGACAAGAATTGTTGTACTTATTTCATTACATCTTGTTTTAATAACTATTTTATTTATTTGTCATAAAAATTGACATAACCTATATCTTTCAAATTTAATTTAAACTCATTTATAAACAAAGACATTTGTATTATTTTACACTTATTTAGGTTTTAATTTGAAATTTTTTATCCATTTCAGGTTTCTCATTAGTGCAGAGGAAAAATATGAGACGAGGCAATAAACCACAACAACAAATATATAGACCAGGTAGTGGACCTTTAAGAAAGTCAAATACAGGAATTGAAGAATCAGAGTCAGACACCAACATTGTAATTAATTCAAGACAGAATCAATCAAAACATCTACTAGTTAATGATGATATGAGACATAAGAGCGAAGGTAGTTCACCTAGAGATAAAGTTGCTGATATAGATACAACCGCACGTGTAGGCGATATATCCGTAAGTCCGGACGCATCAAAGAGGCAAAAGAAACCCGAACAAATGCATTATGTGCCAAGACCGCTAGTGCACGCTAGGGAGTTGAGTGCATCTCAAGATTTTACTCGTAGTAACCCACCAACGAATGGAAATGAAAAGAGTTATGAAAGTGACAGATATGGAAACAGCAAGAGTAAGCGATATTTTGAGAGGAAACGAGCAGATGATAATGATTTTCAGAATGAATGGAGAGAAACCTCCCCTTCTGTGTACAGACCGAGGCAGGGTTCGGAGCCTAGGGGTATGTAACGTTTTTTGTATTTAATCAATTTAATTCGTGACAATGAGCTATCGATAAAGACCGTTAGGTGTTAAAATGCACAAGGTTTTGATATCATGTACGAAATTAATTTTTAATTTAATACGGCGAATATTTAAGAATTGCTTTTACATAACAGACAAACTGGGATTTCTCAGACCCTTTGAAGATTCATGATTTTTGTCATGTCTGGGTCACTGTGCCAGTTTTCGATCATTTAGGTAATAGATTTTTTTTATTAAAATCTGAAATCACTGTTAAACAGTACTTAGTTGTGGGTTCGACTTGCTATGACTTGAATATAATAATAGTAATATTTTTTTTACAATCTTTTTTTTTTTAAAATTGAAAACTCAATTTTTACCTGTTTTCGACCACCCACTAATGAAAAAAATCTTACTTTCGGGATTCCGTTATATTAGATCGTTTTAATCGAAAATGACCGTTTACACCTGAATTAAAGGTTGAAAATAGTAATAACGGTATACAAGAAAAAGACATTCTACAATCAACAAGAAGTCAAATAAGAGAAAAATGCCTACTTAATAAATTGGAAAAATATGCCCGTCAAAAAAAGGTTCATTTCACGACCACCTTATTAAGTCATAAAAACAAATGAAGGAATTCAAGCAGTGTCGCAAATAGGAAAACCGGGAAGGAAATAGTATTTATTTATGCTTTTTTATTTCTGCTGGAGTTTTACAAAATTAGTCGAAAACTGGTATTAGTCATAGTTCGCAGTGACTATGTAACAGAATAATTTGGGATCATGCAATTTTTTTACCAAAATTAGGTTTATTCTATACGGTACGTTAGTTTATATGTATAACCTTTATCCCAATTATAAGTACAATTTAGTTTTTCCATGATTTTAATATTCCCAAACTATTATTAGTTTTATTTTTCTCTGGGTCACAATTGATGTTGAAATGACATTAAAAATGAAAAAAATCATGGTTAAGGTCAGCCACCTGTGTTATTTTTATTAAAGTTTTCGTGCGTACGATTTTAAAATAATTTCTGTGACAGCACAAGTTATATTTCCACCTTATTTTTAAGCAGAATAGCTACATGTTATGCAATATGATTATTTTGAAGTGTTTTTGGAATAGCAAGAGACGTGTCATACCTAAACGGTTAATAACAATTTATTATACTGCAGTATATTTTAATTATAATAAATAATTGATAATTTTTTTTAAACATCAAGGTTAATTTTCAAGTCAAGAGTAGGTACATAATATGTTTATTAATATATGCTGTGTGTGTGTTCATTCCTGTTTTTTTCTGAGAATTTGAGATTCAATTTATTTATCTTCTTTTTTTTTTGTAATACAGATAATGTTATCAGCAATATTACTATCTGTATGTTGGCTTATACATGATTTCTTGTGATTCCCATAGCAATTTTCAATCAAGGAATGTTATTTATCTTTTTCTAATATGAATGATTTCTTGGTATCAACAATTTTGTTTTCTTTATAAGTACACCTTGCATCAAAATTAACATACCACAAAAGTTTGGCCTTTCAAGATTAACATTCTTACCACCGATAATTTGGTGGTTTCGACTATCTTTTTTTTTTATAAACATGTGTTTAATAACACTGATAGAAATTGTTATTGTAATTTTAGTTTTCAGCATATACAGTGTGTAAGAGATAATGAATTCTTTTCCCTTAATCCTTGTAAGGTGTAACAGTGAACAGTAATAGTGAATGTCTACTTGAATCACATTAGTGCCATTTACACTGATCCAATCACACTAGTGCCAGTCCAATCACACTAGTGCCAATCCAATCACACTAGTGCCAATCCAATCACACTAGTGCCAATCCAATCACACTAGTGCCAATCCAATCACACTAGTGCCATTTAGTTTAGTTTAGTTAGTTTAATAGTTTGTTTTTTGATTCAGACCATTATATCTGTAATTTATGGAGTCGAATATAATTAAATTGAAATGGACGAAATTAGACTAACAATAAAAAGAATCGGTGACAAGAAGAAAGAACAAAAACAACACTTTCTCTCTTTTCTTTTTATTATCAATGTCATTTCATATTTCTTTAAACGTGTTTTTAGTATCGTAACTGGCTTTTAAATTTAAATTAAGCAGTCGAGGACCTGATGCTATCCATCTTAATATTCTCAGGTACTTATTGGAGATTTAACTTGTCCAGACCATTATATTTAATTTTTAAACCAAGGTGTTTTTAATAGTTTTTGGAAATTAAGCGTTATGTCTCTCAAACAGGAGACATATCTTATTAACAATTAAGATAATCCGTAAGCATTCTTATTACTATTCGAAAATATTTGAGTTAGGTGTGCAATTTTTTACTTTTCATTTACCCTATGCTGTTATAAATTATCAATATGGCTATGTCTAAATGGTGTACCAAGTTAAATTATTTGACTTGCAGCCATTACATGTCATATGTCTTACAGGATGAATATCAATTAGATTCTATGCATACAGATTTTTTCAAAGCCTTTGGTAGTAATAATATTTTAATCCTCAAATTTCATATACTGGGAATGTTGGAACTGGAAAAAAAGTTGTCTGTCACCAAAGTCGCAGGCCAATTTTAATAAAATTCAATATGACATAATCTATCAATTTGGTGTCATGAAAATGGTATGGATCTTAGTCGTTTCAAATACCATTCCATACCTCTTTTAAGGACATAAGCAAGGTTAAACACATTTATTAATAATACACCATTAGATTCCGTTTAATCCGTTGAAGTTTTGTGAGTTGCCTTTGATTCTTCTATAATATTTATTTTTCATACTGCTCACATCATCTCCAAAGCATTAAAAATGTTGGATTTTATCAAATCAGTTAAAGTACTTTACAGTAGTTTTTATCTAATTTTTAGTTGTATTCCTTAACAGTATTTCAATAGTTTTCTGTTTTTGTTGTTATATCTTACTTTATAATTTTAATTCATTGTACATGTTACCCTTATTATCTGCATCCGCTTTAACTGACTGTAAGTTTGTTCAAAAAATAGACCCTGGCTTAAAAATAAATAATTAATAATTACGCGGGAGGTATTAGTTTCATTAAACCATATTTACGTCTAATTTAACCGATACAGGTATTTAAATATGTCATTTCTTACAGCCATTAACAACGGTCCAGGTTCAGGCTCAAACTGGTACCGGACAAGAGACCGCGACACCAGAAGTGTCGAGCCAGGAGCTTCAAATCGTAATTACACCGGCGAAAAAATACAATCAAAGCCACCTAGCGGTCGCCGACACAGCACGATAGGCCTTGAGCCAGAGAAACGCCACAAGCTCAACATAGACAATTTACCACCGAGATTGCGTAAAAAATTCCTAGGAGAAACCGCCACCACGCCCGAGGAAAATTGGGACGGCAGTAGCCTAACTTTCCAGGGCCACAGCAGCCATTCGAGCAACGTGAATAATCCCAGTTTTCACCAGATGGGTGCGACCTACAACACCCTTCCGGCTAACCAACATTTGCATAACCAGATCATGAGCAATTCGGGATACCACACGCTCCCGAACAGGCCGAGAGGCCGAGGCCGTTTGCAACACGAATACGAGAATCCTCCCGGACAAATGTATAGGTCTATGACTCCGGACAGGATCAGGAGCCCCTGTAATTCTCGCCCGCCCACGCCGCCTTTAAGCGGAAATAGAAGGCCCGACAGCAGGCCGCACACTCCCGTCAGCGACTATCAAGAAAATAGAAGTTATCAGGACAGATACAACAAAAACGTACAAGAGGATAGGTCGAAGAATTTATCAGATCAGTTGAATATCAAAAGGCAGAACGAATCGAGAGCCGGCCCAAAGGGCAGGGAATACGACAGTCGCAGGCACGTCGATTTTAATAGAGACGGAGGAAATTATCGAGGAGACAACAGACGGGGCGAAGATAACTACAATAAAGGCAGAGGTAGGATGCAGGATAATTACAAACGGGACAAGGAAACTCCTAATAGAGAAACGCCTAATAGAGACAACAGAAGACATAGAGACACTCCGAATAGAGAGAACAGAAGAGACGGAGGCGTTTCGAATAAAGACAGGAGAAGGGACAACAGAAGAGACAGACGGAGCAGGAGCAGGGATTATAACAGCACTCCGTCGAATGTTACTACAACGACTAGCACGGAAGAGAATTGGTTTCCTGATGAGGAGAATAACGATAGAAACGGAGTAACGCACGCTAAGGGCAGGTTGCATCCAAGCCTAGAGGCGCAGTTGTCCCCAGTGTCCCCCGACACTCCTGAAGAAGCTTCCGCACCCATTAGCCTTCAGATCATCAGTACGATGCTGGTGAGTACTTGAATTTTAATATTCGTAATGATTTTTGTAGGTTATTCGTTTCTAATGAAAAAATTTTAATGGCGATCCACTTTAAACAAATAAGAAAAAAAATTGTTAAGAACAACACTTTGGTTTTGAGGTGTTGAAATTTGGAAAAAATAAAATTTTCCAAAGTATATCTGCAGAAATTCACTGAATTCGAATGAAATTTGACGTCACTGCATATTTTAAAAATTTTATCAGTGGTGTCTAAGAAAAAAAAGTTCCATTTTATTTGATAAATAGATGAATTTAAATAAACCGAAATTATATTCATATCAAAATTCAGTGAATTTCTAACCATTTTTGACACTAACTACTAAAAAACTATTGTAAACACCACACATAACAGGTAAACACTATCGCAGCGACGATTGTTATATTGGATTTCAGTATTTGGAGTCGCTGAGGCCATGTGGCTCTCTACGCATACTACGAAAGAGACTATAGTTGTCCAGCTATGTAATGGTTGAATGTACTACAACTTCAATAATTTTTTTCTCGGAAACTATAAGGATTTCACAAAAATTTTTTTTAAGATATTGACTATTTCTCAGGCCACATCTATTCCCAAATTTTTTTGGATAAATTGTGAATCACCCTGTATGTTATTTAATTTTTATGGAATATCATTGCTCAAATTACTGTTACAAATAAGAAAAAAAAATAACCAGTAATAATTTGCATTTTACCATTTGTTGATATTTCCTAGCAATCTAATTCTACAGTAGTAGTAAACCAAATTCCTCAGAAGAAAAAATATTACAAACAAAAATTGTTCAGTTCACTTCTAACACTACTTACACTCCTGTATGTAAAAATCTGGTATGTTTCTGACTAGATTGGACTACAACTTCGTTGTATTTGCAGGGATTGGAAAAATAGAACATGGCTTTTCAATGATTTTTCTCAAGGAAAAGTACAGAAACACCTTGTATATTTTTACACGTTAGACCACTTTCTCTGGATTACAAAAATATAAGATTTGATAAGTCTATCTCAAAAAAGTGCCATAAATGTAATGTGTTATATGAAGAATTTTTTTTGAAGTAACAAAAAATTATTTGTAATAGATCACATTCTTTTGGCTCTTCATTCCTTTAATATCAAACCTGTATATTGCCATATCAAACCTTATACAGGGTGTAAGAAGTTTGACTGCCATTACTCAGCATGAGATAAAGTAATCATAAATGTACAGAAAAGTTGTATATTACAGGAGCGTAAGATTAACAGTTTTTAAAATACAGCGAGTATTAATTTTGGGGAGTTTCATCACAAAGTGACAACAGTACTTAATCTAATGCTACACAGTTGATGCATACCACGTGTGCACGTAGCAGACTTGTCCTACGTAAAAAATTTAAACAACTATTATTGTTAAACATTTAGTAAATTTCAAGACAATTGTTTTTAAATAAATAAAATAAAATGTACTGATTTGTAGTACGAAGATGTTGTGCTTAAATTTTAGGTCGAATTTTACTAATTATGAATCTTTTAAAACAGGAACTTAACTTTTAATCATATTATGAATTTGAAAAATATGTAATTAAAAAACCCAAAGATTCACGTCATCCAAATAATCATACATATTAAAAATAATTTAGGAACTTACCAAAAAGCAAAATTCAGTAATTTTTAAAGGCACAAGTACAAAACAAACTACAACATATGCTCAAAATGTCCACCACCATTTTCGATGCACGCACGACACCTTCGAATCCAATTTCCTCGAACTCGCTGGAAAACGCCTTAAGAAAAAGAAATAGTGGTACGCAAAAAACACTCGGACATGGTCCAATTCCAGATACCAATGAATTGCATATTGCGGGACAGCTTAGTATCTCGTGTTATTCGCCGCGCCGTTGTCACATTGCTTGATATGAATTTTATCGAATTTTAAATTTATTACAGTGCTGTGTATTTTTTTTTAAAACTTTAAGATCAAGTATATCGATTTTTTTTTCTTAATTTTTGTTGTAGAATCACCTTTAACCTTCGACCGATCGTTTTAGTTACATGATAAATAAGCAATTATTTAGTGGATGCAAAGTTGCACTTGATATAAATTGTTAACTAATTTGTATTTTTAAGGATTGGAGCGAAGAAGTGGAACTGAACGATAAGTTAGAAGCGGAAGCGCTGAGTGACGCCTTGACAAGAAGTTCATCCATTACAAGTTTGCATGAAGTTAGCACCAAATCGCTCCAGTTACCAATAAATTCTACACCGCCGACTTCTAAGAAATCAAAAAAGTAAGTGCAATTAGAAATTTGACGGCGTTTTTATGAGTGATACACCATGTAGTATATTTAATTGTAAATTTGACCGTTTTCTGTTTGTATGTACAAAGCTAACACATTAATTTTTACAGGAAAAGCAGGAGAAGAAGTAAACACAGGTAACTGACATTTCCCTGTATTAAATAACGTTTGTAACGAATAATCCTATTTTTAAGGAGTGGGGAACGCAGCAGCTCTCGCACCAGAAACCGAGGCCGGCAGAATTCCACCACGAGCGTCGACAATTTCAAGGTCCCCCAGGACGGCTACCCCAGAAGGAGATCCTCCAAAGACAGGAGAGAGAGGAGTTACGAACGCTTCCACGGCGGCTCAAGAAACCCCAGCCGAGAAGGTAGCTGGGACAGGACCCGCGGTAGTTCAAACGGCCCGGAGAACTGGAGAGAGGAAATGGTCAGGAGCAGGCAGAATTCGGAGAGGAGCGACTGCATCTTGGAAGACGGGGAGTCGGGCACGAAGAAACCCGGCATCATAGTCCTTCCCAACCAGAAATCGGAGCAGGCGCACCCGCCTTCCCTGAGCAACTCCGATCACCCCCGATATTTGGACACGAGGAAGTCCCCTTGCCAGCAGAAGAGCCTGTTCGACCCGAACAATCCGAGCAAACCGATAATCGTGAAGCCGACGGGTTCTAGGGTGGCCGTGCCGGGATTCTCCGATAACGCCGAAGAGACACCTCCCGAGATTCAAACGACGGACCAGTACAGCAACGTCCGCCCGACCTGGTACGACGAGAATATGGAGAGCTTCACTTCCAGTTACTTCCCCGAATTGCTACGCGACGTCAAGAAAGCTGACACCGAACTCCAGTACATCATCAACAGCGGGCTGTTGCTCGTCAAGTGGGACGTCGTCGACAACCTACGACAGTTCCTGAAGGAGGCGCTGCAATACCTGCTGGGGAAAGCCATCAAGTTCTGCCAGATGGAGAACATCGAGCAGCACTTCTGGAAGATCCTCTACCACAACATCATCGAGGTCACGCGGAACGCCATCAACAACGACGTCGCCAACAAGGAGAACTACAAGGCCTTCCTCCTCTACCTCATAGACGAGGGCACCAAGTACTTCGAGAGCCTGCTGGTCCTGCTCGAGTCCGCCTACGGTTTCAAGGTGGGTGACTACCTGGGTCCCAACAGCCTGGTGTCCCACAAGGGGCTGGGCCTGACCGGTATGGCGCTGGTCTCGGCGCAGAAGATCTTTCTCTTCCTGGGGGATCTAGGGAGGTACCGGGAGCAGGTCAACGAGACGTCCAATTACGGGAAGTGTAGGCAGTAAGTCGCACGTTGTCGGTCGAGGTGTGCGTGTTTCTGAGCGTTTTTGGCTTTTTCAGGTGGTACATCAAGTCCCATGAAATAAATCCTAAGAACGGGAAGCCTTATAACCAGCTCGCTATTTTAGCTGTTTACGCCGTAAGTATTTTTCAATAATTTTTTATTTTTTTAATTTTTAAATTTTTTATTTTTCTATTTTTTGGGTAATTTGAATAATTTTGTTATAAATAGATCCATAATAATTTTTCTATTTTATTAAATTTTTTAATTTTTTTTTAATTTTTCTTTTTTTTTGAATAATTTGAATAATTTTGTTAAAACTAGATCCATAATAATTTTTTTATTTTTTTTTAATTTTTCTAATTTTTGGATAATTTTAATAATTTTTTTATTTTTTTTTAATTTTTCTATTTTTTGGATAATTTTAATAATTTTGTTAAAAATCTATAATTATTTTTTTATTTTTTTTATTTTATTTTTTTAATTTTTTAATTTTTTAAAATTTTTCTATTTATTGGATAATTTGAATAATTTTGTTAAAAATAGATAAAAAACTTGTATAAAACGTAGACTTATATTAACACAAATAAGTTTTCAAGCATTTACTATACAGGGTCAATTTTAAATATGTACATCAAAATTAGGTCTAGAAAAGTCTAAATTTGAAATAAACATGCATGATTTTTAATAGAAAACTTGTTTAGAACCGCTGACTTCCTTGTGGCATTTATGCTTAACATAGATCAGCCATGTTGCCGATGATGTTACACAGTACTCTTGAACTGTAATTTTGTATATGAAATGAGAAGAATTGTTGAAACAAGCATTTTTCCAATGACACCTCAAAAAAATTTTCTGTTTACATAAGTATTGAGTTTTTACTGAATGATTGATAAGGGGTCCATAAAATGTGTGCACGAAATCAAAATTTGTGCAAGCATATCGCTTTAAAATTTTTTATGTTTTCTTTGATACTTGCAACAAATGTACAGGGTATCGCCCTTAAATGTGATACAAGCCTATAACTTCTTTATTTTTTGGCCAATTCCAAAAATTTTGATTTAGAATGTAGGGTAAAACAAAAACTCTAACTGTGATACTGCAGTTTTTATTAATGTAACACACGCTGCCAACTAGGACGCGTTTTTTTGCCGTCAGAATGGCTAATTGGTATTAGCAATTTTTTTTTAAATCGCTAATTTCAATTAGCTGTTTTGACGTCAAAAACCCGCGTTCTAGTTGGCTGTGTATTATATTAATAAAAACAGTATCACAGTTACATAGATTTTTTTTCCCTACATTCTAAAAAAAAATTTTTTTAATCGGCCAAAAAATAAAGAAGTTACCGGCTTATATCATATTTAAGCGCGACACTCTGTACATTAAATGTAAATATTAGGATTGGATGTCTGTTCCGCAAGAGCAAAAATTATTTTTCAATCGTTTAGTACAATCATTAAGCCAAAATGGGTTTACCTAGTATGTTGTCCAATCGCCTTTATTGTTAATTGTAGCTTGACACCATCGAGGCACGTTTTTCACCGATTTTTCGTGAATATGTCAGGTAAACCTTCAAATCTCTCGAATATGCCTGATCAGCTGCTTTAAGTTGAAGATTCGTTTTCCTCTGAACTTTAATTTCATCTTTGCCCAAACATTTTCTATTGGATTGGCATCAGGGGACTGAGAAGGCCAATCCAACGAAACAATGCCATTTTCGCGTTTCCAGTCTGTGCATAAGCGACTCTGATGTTTGGGATCGCTATCCTCTTGAATTGCAATTTGGACCAAACTATGTTCGAGCAGCCTTTAATAAACATTTGTCATATATTTTGACCATTTTTTGGGCATTCAAATTGTCTGTCAACAAGTAATTCCCAAACATTCACTTTCATTGGGTGTTTGATCGTGCGCTGTATGACGGGTTTTCCGTGAACTGACTAAGCACGTTTCCTAGTAATCCAGGCCCAAAAGGAAGATTCATCGATGAAGATAACATTGGAAAAATCACTGTCAATATTTGCTTCTGCCCACTCCAAACGTTTTTCACTTAAAAAAAGTTTTAGTTTTGTACAATTATAACCAATTTTAGACTCCAATAATCGGCATCTATTGGTATTTAAACTTACTGTTAAACCTTTTTTTTTCTAAAATTTGCTTTGCTTGCCTCGAGGAACATGCCGTATTTTTTATTAACAATTTGCAATATCTGTTTGTCGTCGGATTGGGATGTTGAGCGTCCTTTGCCACGTTGCAGCAAGTCGTCGTCGTTTTTTATAGTGATTGACATTTCTAACATGGCATTTTCTAACAAGTGTTTCAGACTTCTGCCTATAGTGAATGGCAGAAGTAAACTTCATTTTCGGTCCTTTTGGATGGGTGTACAAAAGCACCGCTTCGAATCAGCCACCGTACATGGAACTCATTTTAAAATTGTTACTCCGATAAACAGCATGCGCAACTGAAATAACCACAAAGCATGAAAGCCAGATATCCAAAAAAATGTGAGGAACTAAAATCGTATCGATGCGCCATCTATTAAAGCCCTAGCGAATCGCACGCACTTGGGTAACAGACTGTATGTGCATTTTTAATATTTCCTCTATCTCGTATCAATCGGAATATAAAGTTTTTGCCACATGTGCACTCATTGCAGAAAATACGCTTTACCATTTCACCAGTCCTGTAAACTGCCATATTTCACTCAAATGCATCATAGTTTACTAAAAATGTTAATGAAATACATTTAAAAAACAGTGCCTGCGAAAATAACGAATTAACACAAATACCTCAACCTGTTCATTTTTCAGTGCGCAGAATGCAGTGACGTCACACTGTTACCGCGTTACCGTTGCTTGCAATTTGGGGTGTAATTCAAACTCAAACTAGTATATTTTTAATACCACTTGTTGGATTTCAAGTTGGCAATTAAATTTTGTAAAATTAAAATGATAAGATCAATTTTGGTGTAATTTTTCACGAGATTCTATTCAACCAATCAGCGACCGCATTATCTTGAGCGTAGAGGTAACGGTTTGTCATTGTTCATTGTAAACGAATGATTAATATTGACGACACTAGGATTTGGAGATTTTTAGTTGGCAATACCAGCCGTGCCATGTTGGTTGCCTAATCGGCAATATTGTCCTTTCTTCCACAGAATGCAGTTCTGCATAATTCAACCGTTTGTTTCAGCGGAGGAAACTAGACGCGGTCTATTACTACATGAGAAGTTTGATGTCGTCAAATCCAGTCCCTACTGCTAGGCAGAACCTCATATCACTGTTCGACGAGAATAGGAAGAAGGTAAGCCTTTATATATATTTTTTTTGTTTTTCGTCACAATCACATATCACTTTATTTACTGATATATTATTATTTTGCCCTTTTCATGTCTTCTGTTAGAAAGAGGTCAGTATATAACTTATGTGAGTGGTGTGTATTCCATAAGGTCCTTTTATTTTGACGCTTCAGTAGTTTTAGTACCTTTTTTTTTAAATACTCCTTGTCCCTATCAAGTAATTCTACACATATATCATTAAGATATTCGTCTATCAAACTATACAGTGTGATAATTAAGTGTTACTCCCCGCTTTATTTTTTTTGCAAAGAAATATCTTGGAAAGGTATTACAAGTACAAAAGAAAATCAAAGCACATATCTAACCCATATGCGACACTCCTTTGATGTGGCGTAAATGCCGCTGTTGACCTCGTCCCTTTAAATTGGATGCTAAACGTTGCCAGATTGGGCAATAAAAATTTATATCTGAAGTAAGTGTTGTCGGTTCGAAATATTGAATAAACATGAACATAAAATACTTACACCTACATTTATCACAATTTTCACTTAATTAATAAAGTGTCTGTCTAAACGGGATGATAAATTAGATAACTAATGTATTAAAGTAAAATTGCTATATATGTATTAAATGTAAAATTACACATATTTAATTTTTCATTTTTTTTATTAGAGGTTTACTAAAATTTTGATTGATAGATTTTATGTAGTAGTAAATTCGCAGAATTACAAGTTATTTTATTAAATAGCTCAGTTAGAGTAAAGAATATAGAAAATATGTCATTTTAGGGATAGTAAACTTCCAAATGGTGTTACACTAGTTATGTAAATTTGAAATCGTTTTATCCATGCATTATTAATTCTGGGCGTCCACATTTTTCTATCGACATTTAAAAGAACAATTTATATTATAAAAATTGAATTTTTAAACAATTTTTATAAGAAATTTAAATTTATCTATATAAAAAGTACTTAATAATTATACAATTAATTGTTCTTCTTTAGGAAAGCGAAAAAAATGTATGTTTTTATTTTCTTTCTTGCATTTCCGATACTGATTTAGACATTCTTTGCAACTGCAAATAATTGTTAATAAAAACGCCAAAGTTTTAAAAATAAATAACTATAAATCCACTGTAAACAACTTTTTAAAACACTCCAATACAGCTAACGGCAACAATGTTTACAAAATGGCTATTATATGATTTAACGTAACGTCACTAACAGAAACCACGCGGAGATAAAATATGTTCGGAAGTATTCAGGCTTCATCGGTAATGTATTTAATTCGCAGATAAAAACCGTTCATAGGAGCAGCATCATTTTATGGGCAAAATAATCAAACATTCTATTTTACTCTACAAAATTTATATATCCTTAAAGTTTTGTATTTCATATTTATTCTGTTTATTGCCGAAATAATAGTAAACCTGAAAATATCATCTTACGTTGTCACACAGCTGTTCTGTTTGGAAATACGCATGCGTTCAGTCCCTTTAACTTGGATGTATCTCCATTCGTGTTGCACGAAGTAGCCTTATCTCTCTCAGTGTCGCATATGGGTTAGATATGTGATCAAAGTAACGTTCTTTTAAAATAAATTACAATAATTGTAACGGTACATACAGGGTATCCCAAAAGTATGGAAACCCCAGAATGACTCGGACGTAAAGGGTTATACGGAAAAACGTTTCTTACAAAAATTTCAGGATTTTTTCCGGACTATTCAATATGATGATCTTGAATTTAACCTTGGCCTTGACCTTGAAGGTCATTTCAAGGTCAAGGTCATTTTTTCAAATGGAAACACCTACTTTTTATCACGCCATTGGAAAGAGCGGAAAGGTCATGGTTAAAGTCATATTTGGATGTAAAATTTTCCACTCTTTCCAATGACGTGATAAAAAGTAGGGGTTCCCTTTTGAAAAAATAACCTTGACCTTGAAATGATCCTCAAGATCAAAGCCAAGGTCAAATTCAAGGTCATCATTGATTAGCTCGGAAAAATCCTGACACATTTGTATGAAACGTTTTTCCGTATAGCCCTTTACTTTCGAGTTATTCTGGGGTTTCCATATTTTTGGGATACCCTATATACTGGTCAAACAAAACAATGTTTACACAAGAGAATTTATAATCATAATATAGTATTACCTCCGGATAATATCAATAACAACGCCCTTTCTAAACATGCAATAGAAATTAATCGTAAATTTGATTTTAATAATGTTGAAATTCTGAACAATAAAAACAACTTTCGAAAAAGATGTGATCTTGAAATGGTACAAATTAAAAGAAGTTCAAATTCTATAAATAATAATTAAAATTAAAGATAATTAAAGAATTAAAGAATAATTAAAAAAGAGTACTTAAATGTAATCAGAGACTGGGATGTGCTTGAATATTTTTACATAATATGTTAAAATCAGGTGCTATTGTCATAAGTTGAAACCGCATTTCAAATTCTGCATTAAGCGCATTGTGATACTTTGTTTTTGTCCCGTTGCGTATGTGGAAACCCCAGGGTTCCCCGGAACGCAGTTTGAATACCGCTGATGTATTTGTAATACATGAATATTACAGTGACGACGTACACAAATATTAACGTGCATTTTAAAAAACTAATTATAACTTGACTGTTTGATTAAAAAAAAAATTTCAGATTCGTATGCAGAGCAACTTGTACTATTACCTCTAAAAAACTGACCGCCACTTAAAGTTGCACCCTGTATATGTTGCACTGATTTTTACATCTTCTTTATGCTACTTACAAAAACATCTTTTCTTGCTAATTTTTACGAGCATTCCGATACTTGTCTTTAACGTTGTTTTCGTCATTTAAGTCATTTAAAAAGTCCATTTCTAATATGCTACTGACGAAAGTTAAAAAAAAATTGTAAATCTTTTATTATTTTTAATAATATAAAAGATTTTATCGCATACAAATGAAAAAATTTTAAAGTTTGAAATTTATAGTTATAACGTTGGATTGTTGCTACATATTTAAATCGTGAGTATTAAAAGAAAAAATATATATATTGTTATTTATTTTCGTAAGGTAATAACAAGTTTTTTTGTAAAATCTGAAGATGGGTAAAATATCTGAAACGTAACCGTTGTCAATAATAAAAAAAATAAAGAGTTTATATCCCGGTCAGGATATTTATACATGTTACAAAGAAAAAATATTTCGGTAACGTCGATTTTAAATTTGTACAGTATTGAAATTTTTACGTTTGGGCATGCCTTTGAAAATAAAAATCAAAAGTTTTTTTTTATGTAAGGAAAAATAAATTGATCTCTAACATTTGATCCTTTCATTGTGTGAATATTTTATGAACAATGTGATTATTTGGTTATTATGTATAATGCCGGGGCATTGTACATAACGATTAGGGAACTCTGGTAAATTAATATTTCCAAGTTTGTCACGTTGCTCCCACACTATGTATAACGTTCATTAGGTAAATCCTAAATCTCTACCTAACCTAACCTAACCTAACTTAATCCCTATTTATGTCATTATCGAAAGAAAATGGAGTAGTATATTCATATTTGCTGGGCATTATGCATAATGTTTAGTGTGATTTTACATTAAAATATCATATTGAAAGGTATAAAATTTTTCGACTACATATTTTTGAAACCGAGAGAGTTGCACGAAACTAAATTTGTACAGGACAATGCGAAACATCGCCTTAATGTTAAAAATGTTCACCGCCGTTTCTGGGTGGTGAAAATTCGAAATATTTGGAATTATTTGTTGTAAAAATTGTTTTCACCTATCTTTCAATTATACATATGTATACATATACAATTATACATAATTGAAAGGTAGGTGAAATAAATTTTTAATTTATTTTACAACTTCAGAAACGTATACACCTTTATTATTAGCTGACATACACTAAAAGTTGGTAGGGACGAAAAAACTACTTTTTAAAATTATGTTCTAATATACAGGGCGATGTATTAAGATGTGGCGGTCTAAAAATAAATTTTCCAAACGAGATAGCAGTTTACACATATTTGAATTCGGCAGATGGTGATATAACTAGTTTTATATTTGGATGTGACGTTAATTTTTTATAATCTTCAAATGGTAGTCGTTAGATCTGAAAGACAGACATTACTGAAACACTATAAATCTGTGATACGTTTATTATTTCATCAAGCTTCATTCTCTTGGATTTTTCAAATTTAACATCCTGTTTTTAATGATATCATCGAGTGCACTTTTTTATTGTCTTTATTTTTTGATGAGCTATTTCTACAGTCGTTTTTGTTAATTTTCGACATTCCCAAGTTATTTATTTAAATTTCTGGAAAAACCATTGTTTTCCTCCATTAAATCTTGTTTTAATTCGTGGTAGATGGAATACTTACCATTAAAATTAGATCTGTTTTTATAGCCTAGCTCAGTTTAATTAATATATGAATTTAAACTTCTAGTGGATGTCCTGTATCAAATTTTACTGAATAATTAAAGTTATGGTGGCCAAAACAAACAATTAACAGTTAACGATTCGTAAGCTTTACCGTTACCTACGTTTTCCTATAGCCTCCGATAATTGCCAATAATATCTTTCTCAAGACTCGCTGCTTGGGTACTTGGTACCCTTCCATGATGCAGTAAACTTATATTGCCGTTGTAAACGCAGAGCCCAACAATTGTTTTTATTAGGTAAAACACTGTGCTGTTGCTGTTAACGATGTTATTGCCGCTTACGGAACGTCGCTAATATGACATTAATTCGGAATGAGCATAATTTCGCGCCTCCTATAAATCTCGCAGAACCATTCGCCAAGACCACCTATCCTCTCCGATATTTTATTCATTTTGTTATAGCGAAGACAATAAACGTGCAGTAATAAATTTAATGTTTCCCTGTTCTCTTCCTCCTTAACATGCTGCCAATAGTATATCCATCAAGTAGGTCTATACGTATGTGTGATTTGATTTATTGTGTGTTTGCATTGGATTTCATTTTCAGTTTAGGCGTTTA